CATCTAACAGTCCACTCTCATCTATCTGATTGTCTCCAGTATCGTCTTAGATGCATCCGATTTCTTCTGAACCGTTTCCATCCAACGTTTATTTCGTATAAAATGGTACCGACCCACGCAGTCACCACAAATTCCTTCCACCGCTCTTAAATATCGGGTACTCGTTGAACCCACACTTTCTCTTCCCCTGTTACCTCAGAAAGTACCCATGCACCGCGGTCGTAGTACCGTTTCTGAGTATCCATTCGTCGACTCAGATGTTTCTGTATTCTTCCAGGCTGTAGCGAAATGGGAGAAAAAGTGTGGCAGTTGCTGATATCAGGGATCTAGTGCTTCTGCTTTTTGGGCCCTGTAACTGTCTCAAACCAAAATTTGTTGAAAGTGTTTTGCAATGCTGAAGAAGCATGAGTTACGGGTCCTCGCCAGTTGCTCTAGCCTTTGATAACAGTCGCTTAGCCGACTTCACTGGCGACCCCGCCTTTCCATTCGATGGAATGTGATATAGGATGGTTTGCTAGTGCACGCATTCCCACTTGGTTGCAAAAGCCTGGGAAAGGCCGTTAGTAAACTGGGGCCCATTGTCAGAGAACAGCTCCTCCGATATACCGTGAACGCGGAATGACATCTGAGCTTGTTGATTACCGCCTCTGTGAAGGTAGTGGTGAGTAAATTGATTTCAAAATAATCACTACCATAATCCACCGTGAGCGGGTAATCTTTCTCGTTATCACTGAAGAAATCCACCGCAACATTTGCCACGGTCGGTCAGGGAAATCATGCAGCATCATTGGTTCCCTCATTTGCCGGATTTCGCCTCACAATCCGAGAAAAGATCTTTTATTTGACCCGTCATTTCTGGCCAAAAGATCTGTTCTATAGCTCGGTTAGTGGTATAGTTGACACCAAGGTGAGCGCGGTGAAGGTTTATTAGCATTTCACCTTTGAGCGATGACGGAATCAGAATATGACTTCCCTATAACAGCAAACCAGCATAGACACAAAGTTCATCCAGAAAATTGAAGTAATGTGTTAGTTTCATCGGTGGTTGCTTTTTGTCTCTGGCAAGCCACTGAGAATAAAGTCAAGTAAAGTTGAAAGCTTTGCATCCTCCTCTGTTGAGCACCTTATTTCCTTTAGGTAATCTTCGGCACTGCTAATTGCTGTACTAATTTTACTGCTTCGACCTCTTCCGGAATATGCTCGGGCACCAGCAGACACATACTTGACAGCGTATTCGCGATTAACATCTGTGCACCATACGTATGAATAACATCAACGTCGTACTTTTTGAGCCGGATAGGCATACTTTGAAGGCGACGGGAAACGACCTGCAGCGGTTTCTTGGCTATTGACACAAGCGGTTTGTGGTCGGTATACAACACTGTCTCACTTCCTAAAGTTTTATCGTCAAAATGATCTATGCCATAGACCACCGCAATCAACTGCTTCACTATCTGCGCAAAGCACTGCTCGATCATGGTGAGTGTTCGACTGTCTAGCTACAAAGGTTTTCCATTCTGTAAGAGAAAATCACCTATTCTGCCTTAACTACTGTCACACTGTACCTCAAATGCTGCGCTGGATCGTAATGCCCGAGTACAGGCGCGTTGCCGATGAGGTGCTAAATAGTTTCCAATTCAGTCTCCTGTTCTGTAACTGAAGGCCACTTTACTGCTTTATGAGTTAAGTTCCCGATCAGCAAAATGATATCAGCGAGTCTTGGCATAAAACGGCTCAACTAATTCACCAGAACGTTTAGGCGATGTATTCCCTTCAGGTCATTAGAGGGCCGCATCTCTCGAATTTACTTAAGTTTTCCTGAATTGATTCTGACCCCTTGTTTTGTTACTAAATACCCATGGGAAATTACCTAGTCTTTCCAAAGTTCAATTTTTTCACTTTTATGCTTGACATTCTTTTGTACACTACGCTGTAAGAAACTGCGGAGATTAGCGTGATGCTCTTCTCCTGTCGAGCCATAGATAAAAATATGTTCCACCATCTAAATCGTCTACTACTTGCACCAATCGCCTATGCAAAATTTCACTGAAAATTTAACGCCAAACGGTAAACGCAGCCAACGATAACGCCTGAACGATATCGCAAAAGTAGTCAGACAACTGGATTCATCATCTAAAAATACTTCCCGGTATGCCGAAGCATGGTCTACCTTCATGAAACACAGCTTTGTCCAAACGCTGTAAAATGTCTTCTAAGGAAGTTAGCGCATAAGGCTGTCTATGCAAAGTCCCGTTTATAGGTTTTGGGTCACTATACACGCGCATTTCGCCCGCCTTCATTGTAATGGTTCCAATGACTAACGCAGTCATTTTGCTGGTCGGCTTTGGTAATCACACCCTCACTCACTAATTTGGTCAATTCAGTAAACAACCTGTCTTGCAGGGCAAATGGAACTCTCTTAGCTGGTGGCGCTGTCGGTTGTATCAAAAGATCTAAAGACAGTTCTGCGGTTCCCTCAAACTTTCCCAAACCTGGGCTAAACACTGACGGATACTGGTAAACTAACGTCGGTTTCTGCTTGGCAAACATGCACAAAACGACCATGGTTAAGAGCAACCAAATCGGGAGACTGGATGGAATCAATGCCCAGAATCGGAGTGAGCTCCTTCTCTATGAACATAAACTCCAGCCAATGCTTTGCTCCATTTCTTGGGTTAACTAATTCGATTGTAGCTGAGCCATTTGGATAAATTTTGGAATCACTGTATATACGCAGATAATCCTGATCGGTTCGAATGCAAACTCCGGGACATTGCTTTCTTTGTAAAATATTGATAGTAGCAACTGTGCCTAACTAGAATCGTTCAGCTTTGCCTACGATCCACAGACATGCGTAGATACATTTTGCGGCGCCCTCCTAGACATGTTTCCAATTGAATGTTCTACATCTGCGGGGGACTTGTCACGAAAGACCGCGCTCACATTTGTTGAATGGCAGCAAAGAGCGAAGTGGTTCCTTTTTCCACACACGTCGTAATTCCAAACCCACGATGGACACTGTTAGCTGCTGCTCGGATTTCGCGCGGATCAAAATGTGTAGGTCTCCTCTCTCACGGTAGTAGTCTTCTCCGAAATTGGCCCCCGATGCTGAAGCTGTTGTGAGCTTCATTTGCTGGTACTGGTAGGTGGTCGAGGACTCAATGTTGCAGAAATTGATACACGGCTCATTCGATAAGTTACGTTATGGCAAAAGCAGCTTTGTCGTACTTTTATCATTGATTCCTAGAACGATACGACCGCGTATGCGACTGTCGCCCAAACTTTAGAGTAATTACAGGATCGGATCAAAATCTTCATTTCAGTGATGTATGCGTTGACTGCTACATTTTGGCCTTTGCTGACCGAAAAGAAAATATAGTGTTGATACTTCTCTCTGGTTTGACCTTCACAACATTCACTGAACTTTTCTTCACCGTCTCCAAATTATTGGGCTCTTCGTCTTTGCCGTAATGCAACGTCACTAACACACGGCGCGTATCAATCCTGGCTGCGTGCCAAAACATTGTAAAGCGATGCGCCATCGCTTGTTCGTCCAAATCTACTATAGTGCAAGAATACACCCACTTGTTCATCCATAGACTCCAATTACTCGCCAATTTAAGTTCAGACATCTTAAGTGGGTCAGGCGTATAACTAGCAGCTGATGATACAAACAGCACTGTGCGTCGGCGGTGTGGGGCTCGTCTTTGTCTTCTCTGACACCATGCTGCAGAACCCAGTCCTTCAGAGACAAACATTTATTTGTCAAAGACAGTACAGCGCAAATTACAGCATGTTTAGCAAGCCAAATTCCTCAATAAAGATTGTAGGTTCATGTCCATGACTAACGACCATTCTGATTCGATGAGGTTCCTCATTTGGTTCAGTTAAACAAACGGTGAATCGCTCACACGCATATCTGCCAATCCGAGTCTGGTAATCGAATCCGTTATGTCCGCCACCCACTGACTGTCTGGCTCGTTCGGTTTGTTCACCTGCTCACTCTGGTCTGATAATGCAAGCACACAAGTTATGACACGTTATTCGGGCTTAACGTATGACAACTACCCTCGTTTCACATGTCGTAAACTTCCCTATCTTATAGAAAATATCTACCGAGTTTGGCACATCATATAATCAAATCAGGCTTTTGGCCGAATTTTCGTTAAAGCGTTTTTCTCTGATTTAACGTTTGCTGTCTAAATTAGCCGCAATCTTATTTGCTCACGTTCGATTTCAAAGTAAATGCCTCCGCTTGCAGAGGAAGAGGTGCTGGCACGATTAAAATGAGGCGTGAAGCAATCAGAAGGATACAATTATGCGAAGGTCCGCCAGCATGAAAACCTGATGAAGCTCAATGCGAATGAGCACATTATTCCTTGCAGTCAAAAACGTTGTGGCAAGTCGAGTTAATAAAGTTAAAAACCTGTATTTTATAGGAACATCTAGATAGAGGATAATTGTAAGCATAAATCGAAAGGAGCAGTTGAGAGCTACCGTTCAACTAAACGTTGGTCGACTTTTAAATGCATTCATTCCAAGGTTGTAGGCGGTGCTTCAAACATTTTTGATGCGAATGACATACTACAAGTTGTTTCTTGGTGGTTGGGAACCAGTAGCCTATAATTTCGAAAGCAAGCGATTTGGCGGGGCTTAGAACAAAAAGGGTATACACGTTAGAACTGAAATTTGAGATGTCCTACTGTATCATATGTTAGCAATGAGTTACTTCCAGTTTGAAAGCAGGAATTCATCAGTTTGACCATAATCAACAAAGCCGTTAGACTCACTGACCTGTGGCTGTGAATGCACATGCTAATCACCTCGAGCTTGTTGAACCCTGTCGGTCGTATAATATACCTAATTATGTGCGTGAAATCATAATGTTTGGCAGATCGTTGCAATGTAATTGAATTTATCGGAACCAAATATCTCAGATCTGCGACTTTCGAGGATAATTGATGCTCGAAAACAAATGGTGATGCATTAAAAGCACTTACGAACGACGTTGTATATAAAGTGTTGTAAACACATTTGATCGTAGTCGTTTTCTGGAAATGCAGCACCTGTAGAAAGTATATCAGTGACGTTTGGCGAAAGGAAGTTCAAACCACGCATACCTTGTACCCGTCAGGACACATGGCTTCCCGTATTATGATTGTGTCAGTGTTCTTAGCCGTATCGGTTGACTTAAATGGCTTTCGAATGACTTTGGGAAAGGTTTATAATGCCGGATTACAGAATATAATTACCAATCAAATCCTTCGTTTCGCATGGATTTATTGTGCCATCGCATGGAAAGACGGACAAACAAGTTGATGAGGATCGTGCATCGAAGTGTACCCTATATTCTGAAAGGTTAGCTAGGCAAATTTTGGAGGAAAAAGGAAGATCGAATGGACCTCAAATATAAAATCGCTCAGGATGAGTGAGTACCTTCAAACAAGAGATCGTGGCTAGGGTCTACAGCCAGTTCCCCATGCACCCAGGGGATGCACTTTATTTTGTGCTTTATAATATTGGCCTCATTCGCATGTTCCCACTAGGAACACAAATTGGTGGAAATGATGAAATTGCAGCCCGACTACCTACCACTTGACGTAAATCCTCTTGTTCCGCGCTCTCCGCTATCATGCTTCGAACGATTATCTCATTTTTGTGGTTTGGTGGATGGTAAAAGTCGAAGGGCAACAAATACACTGCAATCGGTTGTTTTATGAAATAAGCTTACCATCAACACTCGATTCTTGCTCTGCTTCGACACAAGCATAGCGTGGGTTGAAATAATATAATTCGGGTGCAGTGGATTCCAGAGTGTAGTGTACTTCAGCATTCGTCAAATTTAATAGTCTCACACTACTGCATGAGCCGATTGTGTAGCCGTCTGAGCGTCGAGTAACTGCAACATGAAGTTCATATATAATGGTAAATGCTGCTGCCGATGAAAGTATCGGGTGCACAAACTGTAAGCTGCCTAATTGGTTTGATGAAAAAGTTGCCACCGTTGGCGCGTTGATGTCAGAGACGAATGTGGCATTGGATACAGATATGTCCGACTCTACCTATTTTGTTGTTATCTCTGGTTTGAAGCAAGGCACTGCCCTATTTGAGATTGGCTTACATACAATGATACCTCGAGCTTTTGATTTTTTATATATTTTGCAGGTGTTTAGCACCGTATTAATGGTGGGTTGCTGAATTTCCGTCGTTTCTGTTACATAATCCTCCTGCGTGATACAACCATTGGATTTTGCACTTCGCCAAGGACTGCGCATTGTTTGCATGTAGTGAGAATTAGTTGGATTGAGTGACTGCGGCTGTCTATTTGAGAGCGGCCGAATTCGGGCTCTCCAGCGAGATGCGCCAGAAAGTAGACAAAATTAAATTATACAGTGAAAGCACGGTTGAGACTTGCAACTAAACCATTAGCAGCAGGATCTCACGGCACTCTTATCTAATGCTAGACACTTTCGCGCCTCAGGAGCTCAGCGCACTCTTTGATTCTCAATTGCGAAACAATTTTCTTATGTTTCTGTACCCCAGATTTACCCTTGTTGGGTGGAATTTGCACAATGCGGATTGATAGATTAAGTAACTTTTAAGTTGTGCCCCGTTTCGTCGTCATAGGATTTAAGTTTCACCTGCATCCTATAATAAACTTCTTGTACATCCGTGTTCTTCGGGTATAGCATTTCGTGTTGCGAGTCCAATGAGTAAGCTTTCCATTCCGCTCCTACCTCAAGTTTGGAATGACTGTGGTAGCATCCGGACAACGAATCTCTGGCTCCGTAGGAAAACAACCTTCTAACACTACTGGGACATAATCGGCTACCTCCATGTTCTCAGTGTGAAACTCAGAATACTTATGCTTCGATATTTACTCCCAGATGTGGAGTAGCGACAGCTTCATAACTTGGCCATCAAGGATGTGAAACCCTTAAAGTAATTTCCCATTATCTCAATCGTACATGGACTTACCAAATGAACGTATATACCGCAAATTGTGTTTTCTCCCGCATGCATCAGCAAAAATGTGAACAGTTGAAGGATTCCATTACCCGGATGTGACACGCAGTGATATTGCGTAATTATTCCTCTAGTCCCTGGAAGAATTTTACATTCTGTAGATTGACTCAGCACGCAATTGTTGGAATCGTTAACAAGTTCTTACACAACATGCTGTTGCAGTAACGGGTAGGATTATGCTTATGAGTTCGACGTAAAAGAAAGTGTAACTCCACCGCAATCCATACAGTTCTGTCCGACGAACTCAGCTGTTGGCAAAGGTGCAAACATTCTGACAATTACCGTTGGACAAGCCTTTTTTCCGTTGTGGAAGAATTTATCACAGAGCTAACTTTGCTTCTTGTCCAGCACACACTCTTAAGTGCAAGGACTGTTGCAAAATTGGGACTAAGCTCGATGTCGGTCGCACGCCATCCAACCATCGACAAGGATGCTAGATCTGAAAGCCATGCTCCTGATGCATATAAGGAAAACGTTTGTTCCCTCACCAATGATGCCAAAGTTTAAAAATACCTCCGCTGATACCGCCGCTGATATTCGTACTGTCATTCCTTACCATGAATTGTGCATTTTCACTTGTATGGATTTGCCTCTATCAACTTTACCCACGAAAGCCACATATGTTTGAATTACTTTTCTGTATACTAAGTTTACTTTTGGATTACTGTGTTATACCTATATTTGCTATGTGAATTATGCACCAATATATTTATTTTGGTACATTTATCTTATGTGTATATTTGTTGGATATTTTCTGGCTAATTCCGTCGATCTCAATGATTGGCGCAACTGTCAACTTTGTCCGCCATTTTGTATTACTTCTGCAGTAACCTAACCTGCTAGTACAGTAATCTAATTTGTTTCAGCCGGATTACTAACTTGGACGACAGCGGTTGGGTTTAGCCTACTATTGTAGACTTTGCAACGGAAGACATCTGCGGAACTGAAAATCACAATGTTACGTACTGCTTGCCCATGGAAACTAGGCCTAAAGCTTTCGACATGAAGTTTAGTTGTGGCACAGATTTCTATGTTATACGTGTGTTTTTTCTGGATCGTTGAGCATAGCTTTCATCCTCGATGTGCTCTACTTATTTTCAACCAGATGAAAAATCCTAATGATACGATTGGTTTCTCTGGTTCTGCACTGAATATATGTCCATTCCAAGAGACAGGTGTATAACTGTGTTGGCACCGAAGTACGATAGGCTGACAAAGCTGTCCGGGTAGGTAGCAGCGGCTAAAGCTGTCCTATAGGAACCGGAAATATAACTGTTTCGAATTCCATGCCCAACATCCAGCTCAAAGTCAGAACCATGAGGCTCGGGCAAAATAAGCTTAACGATCCAAACTTAGCCACCTTGATACCAGTGGCTGCTCATAATAATGCGTTCGTTACATTTGTTTCATCAGAACCACGCACCACATCGCACAATGTCAAAGGTCTGGCAACATATGCGCCCGTTTCTGCTACTTACATGGCACAGGCATCTAGTATCTAAACTGCTTCTGGTACTAAAGTAGTTAATATTTTTACCACCACTGGACTCCAGACTCCATCGGTTGTCTAACAGAAGAAACAGATAATGGTCCTTCAAAAAGGAAGCATTTTAAACAATTCCATAATTTTCTTATGGCTGTATGCCCTAATTTGATGGATTCCGAGGTGAAATCTATAAAATATAAGCTACTAGATGACAAGCAAAAGTGTGACTAACTCTATCAACTAATAGAATTTCTAGCTAAGACATTCATTCCGATGCGATTCGTGCGTTACCCAAACTGCGTACATTAGTATAAACCACGGTTTCTTCAGGTAACACTTCAGTCAGATGATGATACAGAGGCAGTTCAATTGTCAACCACTCGTCTTCGTACTGTCCGACCTGTTCGAATTTTTAAAGATATTCCTTGGAGCAAATGCCAGAAACAAAAACAAAATCCGGATCTATTCCGTACCAAACCAGATGTACAATAGATCCTTGTTCACGGTGTCTCCAAGCTACAGACATTACGGAAGCAAGAAGATAAAGCGGGTGATTGGGAGGAAAGGCGCTTTATTCCTGTAGTACCCTCACTTGAGAACATTATTGATAATTCGACATCCATGTTCCCGATGTTACCTAACTACGGAGGGTGTGGTCCACGAATGATGAAAATAATGTTGTAATCAGAACGGATGGTAGAACATGTGATCCAAATTGGGCACAAAAAGGGCAACATGCTGCTAACGGAAATAATTATAAACGCGATAGACACCTGGCCACCGATAAACAAGGTAACAATGAGCGGGCAATTTACTAATTATATTCCGTCACCGTGAAGCTCAGAAAGGTGACGATAGCAAAACACACCGGCAGCGGAATGATTACAGGATGGTCGCCCGCTTGCTGGCAGTAAAACCTACAGAACAACTTAAACCGGCCCTATGATTTGCTTTATCGTTTCTACCAAATAACCAGCGGCATCCGAAAGCAAAATGGTCTTCATAGACCCTTAACGAAAATCAGCATACATAAACACGCTTCTAACCACGGATGCCCTCACCTGCTTGGATGCAAATGTACATAGTTTTCGCAGTAAACTAACCAAACTTCGTATTCCTCAGGTCCCCACGACTTGGATCTAATTATGGCCACCCAGAGTTGGCTAAACACGGGGATTACCGATGCTGAGTTGATTTTATTCGGTATGAATCCCAATGAAACGATCGACCTAGCATAGGAGACGAAGTACTCCTGTAGTATTTATCCGACTTGTAGATTGATAGCCTTTACGACCCAGAAACGCACGTTGTCGATTTTCATTGGAGTCATTTAACGCTAAGACTCGGTGATATGTGTTTAATAGCAATAGCTTAGTGCCGTTTAATGTACAGCATGAAAATAGATTATGCCTAGCTTTTGTGGTGAAGCGACTCCTGTCGCGACCAGACAGTGACGTCCTTCTGGAGGGAGACTTCCACCTGCAAGCAAAGGCGGTCCCAGCTTGGCATAACGAACAATGCAAGACTGACTTGTGAGGGGTGATTGCCGATGTACCATTGTGCAACCACGATAGCTTTTCTACGTGATTCCGAACGGGTGACACAACGTCTGTTTTGGACTTTGTGCTCAACAATGAGGGACAAATGGTTGGCATCGTGACCATACATACAGCATTTGGTCGTGGGTATTATACGATGTCCCTCTTTCATTACATCTACCACGCTGAGTATACCAGTGAGAAAAAGGGCGAAGCCCCTATAGTTGCACATTAGGCTATCTTGCCCGACTTTGTTCGCTAAACCGACTGGTCCTTACTGACGGATCTAACGATCGATGTCTCTTGAAATGTGTTTATCATCTAATTCACAAAGTTAGTGAAAATGTAGGGTCTTCGCCCGAAGTACGTGAACTCGTTCCTGAGTAGTTGTACTAAAAGCCGCGTATCGTTATGGGACTGAAGCTGGCGGGCTTACAACGCCTGTTCAAGTAACCGGACCTGGTGTGCATACACAAATCAACGGAAACACTGCGACAAGTTTATCCAAGAGGCCAAACGCCAGTACCACAGAGCAATGGTACCCACAAACACAAGTTGCTGCATAGACAAGCTGATAAACTTCTGGGGGTGCCTCTGGGGATCCCAGTTCTTAGTGCGTTAGATGGTCTGGCGCATATTACACAAATGCGACCAACGTACTCCGCCAACACTTAATTCTACTTTCCAGTGAATAATCATTTCACCCGCTTTTGACACAGTTCGCATCGCCACCAGGGTTGAACCACATGACGCTCACTGCGGCCCATTTGATGAAAAGGCTAATGTCATTGCGCGTGCGTAATTCACCTGAAGTGAGCGACATGAAACCGAAGACATTAAAAGCAGCGGCC